ATAGCCACCTCACAGCCCAACCCATCACCGTCATAGCTGAGGGGGCCTAGCGTGGCTGGCGCCAGCATGGCGTACTAGCTAAATCGTTTCCCTTTTTCTGAGATACTGCCCAGACGATTTTATTTTGCTCTTTTTGCGTTCAACACTTCGGTTTTTTTGTTTTAGCATTAGAAACCCCCTTTTTGGTCATCAGTGTTTCGCCGCATGAGGGTCTTTAAACCATAAGGATCATTTTCGAGTTTTTTGACTTTTACCAGTGTACATGCACATTCAGCGCAAGGCTCATCTTGGTGATGTAAACTTTTTATGGTGATTGCAATTTTGATTTCCTTGCTGACCATTAGCTGGAGGCGTAATGAAAGTGTGCGCAGATCATTTATGCGAGGTTCATCTCACCAGGCTTATCCTTTACGAGATTATGGTGCTAGACGTGCCTTTGCTATTAATTTGCTGAGAGTCCATAAACGTTAGGAAAAGACAGCTGATATATTTTCGTTTTCGATATTGTTAAGGATACTTCAGTCATGCCGATTATCCTAACACAATAAGACTAAGGCCAGTTAAAAAGTTGCATAAATCAAGTTTTAACTCGACTGTTCACCGTTTATTTAAGGCGGACATATAAAAATTCATCCTAGAAAGATTATGTTTTCGCCTTTGCAGACCTTGCCCCTAGACGATGTAGCTCTAGACATGCTAAAATCTGGCAAACATTCTGGTCAGAAAAGATACCAGAAGGCCTCAGAAATATAAGAAAGAGCATGAGGGATTTTTTGAGATACAGGAAGATGCCTATGAGAACCTTGTAATACCTAAAAATACGTACGTTGGAACGCGTAATTCAATGCGCGGGTAGGTTCTTGTTTGCTTAACATAGGCTATACAACAAATCACATTACACAAAATATGCCAGCCGGTTGGCTTATCCACCCGACAAAATGACGATGCTATTTAAGGGAGATGATGAAGGCTTTCAGACATGGACATAAGTAAGGGAATGGTTGAGTTATTTTGGTTGAGTAAGACATTGTCCCACATTTCCTTGAGGTCGGTCTTTGACGTGTTCTAGATATGTTTGCGTCCTTTTATCGAAGGCATTTGAGGATAACAATTCGTCGTGTTTGGTAGGGACAAATAAATCGACCCAGTGTACTTCTGGACGGTTCAAATCACCCGAAGTTATCTTTTGTTCGGTTTCAAATTTTAATATACCGTCTAGTCAATTGTTCAGGTCCGTGTCCTCATAACTGCATTCTAGAGGAGGATACAAGCAGCTGGGATACCTGCGATCCCCTGACAGATACTTCTCTATGGAGAGTCTGTGATGCCAACTGTGGGACGCTATTTATCCTACCGTCCGGGGTGTCCTCTGACGCGTGCGTCGTCAACATCAGGACTGGTTGGACGACGACGACGACGACGACGCTGACATCAGCCGACTGCTCGCTGATAAGCACATGCTGCACAAGCCTACATAAACCACTGACCGGCCTTTGCCGTCGACCAACTCCCGCAAGGAGGAACGAGAATCGACCTCTGTCTATCGCCTCTCCTAGAAACAATCTACGCCGCGCACCAACTGTCTGGCGGGAAAGCACCGGGATCCGACGCGATTCCAGCTGATATCTACGAGCACGGCGGCTGCCGGTTGGTGGATCAAGCCACAACGCTATTACAAGAGATGCGGGTCTGAAGACAAGTTCCCATGGCTTCGAGGACGCGACGGTAGTCCATCTTTACAATTGCATAAAAAACAGACAACTCTGTGATAACTACGGGGGAGTCTCGTCGTTCACTATCGCTGAGAAGGTCATCGCATGCATCTACTTCAACTGCCTCAACGGGCATCTTTGTAAGTACTTCTCCTGTAAAGCCGGGATGACTTTCGGAGCCATTTTGAAACTGCTAACATGATCTTCGCCGACCGCCAGTTGCAAGAGAAGGATCAGGAAATGCCGACCCACCTCTACAGCAAATTCTGGACTTGATTAAAGCCTTTAACGCGGTGAATCAGGATGGATTGTGAAAAGTCATTGAGAAATTTGGCTATGCTGAGCGATTAACGCATATGGTGCATCACTTCCACCCGGGGATGATGGCACGCGTCACGGATGATGGGACAGCCTCAGAGGCACTTGGAGTAAACAGCGGGGTGAAGCAGGTCTGCATACTCGCCCCAGTCCTCTTCGGCCGTGTGTTTTCTGCCATTCTGTGAACGCCTACCGTGACGGACGCCACGAGATCCGCATCGACTATAGTACTGAGGGGCATGTTCTCAACAGCCAGTGCATGCAAGCCCTAATGAGTCTCTCCACGACTACAGGCAACGACCTGCTCTTTGCGGACGACTTTGCATTGAACACCACCGCCGAAGGAAATCTGAAAAGAAGCATGGACATCTTCGACGCCGGATGCACCAACTACAGATTACCGATCAGCATTGACAAAACGGTATTTATGTACCAACCGTCAGCCAACACAGAATGTGGGACTTTTCGAGTCAATATAAACGACAACCGACTTAAAACCGGCTGCGATTCTCCATGCGAAATCGATACGACCTTCGACTGAACAACAAAACTGAACGTGCACAAGGTCATAATCTTGACGGCACTTCTGTTCGGACTGGAAACCTGGACCGTATACTCCAATTAGGTCAAAAACCTTCATCAGTTTTCTCAGTTGCCTCCTCAGAATACTAGGCCGAGATGGAAGCAAACGACCGCTGAATAGCAGTCTTGGAATAGCTCTGCTCAGACAACTGCAGCTGCTGAATGATGAACGATCAGTGATTAGCAAACGACTCCTGCGGAGACGCGCTACGGGTGTCCGCCGACAGGGAAGGCAAAACGGACGCTACAAGGGTACTTTAATGAACTCTCTGAAGCGACTGCGTGTTAACCCAAAAAATGGGAGGACCTCGCTCAGGACAGACCGCCCGTCATGAGAAACGAAGGCTGGCGCAACCGGATACGAAGCAAATCTGATTGTCACTGACAAAACAAAAAGGACTGCTCGCAAGTTCTGGGTGCCCCAGATCCTTACTACCTAAAGCCAACCATCTTCAACCTGCCCACGCTGCCAATACACAGTCAGTGTACTAAGCGCCCAGTCAGACGTCTTCGAACGCAAGGGAATAACCAATCAGCAGCATCAGCTTATCATTCCACGAACACCCCTAGTGTCACCCCTGCCTCAAGCCCTACGACGACTTCAACACTCATCGCCTGTGATAATCCTGACAGCGAACCGCCGCCCTGGCACACTGGCACCGCCATTCTCGTTCAACCCCCGCGTCGATTGCAGCGACCAGCTTCACCAGAAACATCGCTTCTAGTCCAACCACCAATGCAACGACATCGGGCGTTCCGTAAGGCAATATCTACATCCCCATCGCCGCCCAACCAGCGACACGGACTAGATCCCAACCTGCCAACTTTTCGATCGCATATTCACCTTGGGCATCGGCCTGGTTGGTAGCTTGCGAGTCCATCACACTTTGCGCGGTGCACCGGTGCTCGGAGCCCTGAAATACACCCTCCGAATCCGTCGCAGCCGCCCAACTGCACAAACTACACGCATATTCACTCACAGCATGGACCTATCCGGTCATATCCGCATCCATAAAACGAAGCTCCCCGCAATTTCGGCACTCCAAACATACCCTGTTTGACCGAAAACGCTTCAATATCCGGCACTCACGAGTCCCAGACCACCAGCACGATCACGGGTAGTGGGCTCACCACTCAATCGATTGCACAGCTCCGAACTAATCCTGTGCAGTGGCTGTACTCTGGGCGCCTGTTGCAACCCTGCGCCTCTCGCGTGTGCCTCCCTGTACGCACCAGGGCAGCCTGGTTTTGGTCCGCACACTTGCTCGCCGCCGAGATGTCTCGCTGCCCTTCTGTCCGCCTCACGCTTCTGGTCAAGCCTCTGTTAAGACCATTCGAGGTTTGTCATTTAACTCGCCTGCGCTTGAGGCCAATCAGCCCAGCTCCCCTGCTGATTGGTAACAGGCGGACGACAGAATAGCTCAGAACCGTAAACAACTGGCTTAGACACTTTTGCAGCAACAACTAGATAAGACTTACGGAATACCGCTCTCGCGGACTCTCAGCCGGCGTATCAATCCTGCCCTGACGATGTCAGTTCTGATCCCGTATACAATACCACATGTAGGCCAGTCGTGTCCGACCCGCATACGTACCCCTCAAGGCTGCCATTTATTTCAGCCTGACAATGTCCGATTATAATCCGTTATTGCCAGTTATTCTTTTTGCACAATTACCCCCCCCGGACCAAGTAACCCCGGCCACAAACCAAACCCTTGTCCATTCGGATAAAGTTTACCTGGGGACAAGAAAACTTCCTCACGAAGCGCTTGAACATCTTAGAAGAAAACTCATTCATATTTACAGAAAAACCAGCATTTAGAGGTATGCTGTTAATGTTCCGTAGTTCATACAAAGTAATTTACGGGTGAGTTGAAAACCATGTACCAAGGATAGCCAATCCATATTTACTACATACTGTATTATGTCTGACAGGAGAAACGGCTAAATGCTATAATAAGAACTCCACGTTCTACAGCCGACCCTGCACTAAATTCCAGAGAATACCAGAATTCCAGAGAATCCCGTCTCTTCAATCTAACCCTGAACCCAACCTTAACACTAACCCGAAGTCACCTAGTCTTAGCCATAACCCCAACCCAGACATTAATAATAACCCTAATCTTAGCTGCATCTCCACCCTCTGCAAATTAGCAAAAGGCCTTCTATCGTTTGGGGAGTTCATATTCTTGTGGCCGTACATAAAAAGAAGTCAACGACTTCACAACTGTGTTTACATTTATTCTCCTTTGTTGTAGTAAATTAAGTGGTCCTGGTAATCAGTTGATCAGTAGTAAAAGGCGTATACAATCATGTAGATGAAACGATGTAGGGGAGCCTTCTAGATCTGGGAGAAGATACCTTGGCGAGGAATGGACAGCTTCACTGTCATGGGAGCGTTGCGTTGGACGCCCCATTTGGCAGACTTGAGTTGGCCCACGAGGGCATCTCATTCAAGTGGAAAAATGCAGTAACATAGGTCATCATGCAGAACAGGACAATCGCCTCCGTGACGAGAAGGACCTGAAATCCGGTTTTAACCTGGTAGTGAGAAAATTGGCATAGCTATTAAAGATAAGCCAAACTTGAGCAGCACACGGTACCGCTTACATTTAACTTTATGTGAGCAAGGGTTTGGTTTATGGCCGGGGTTACTTGGTCCGGGGAGTAATTGCACAAAAAATAAATGGCAATATTCATTTTTACGTGCCAGACGAAGAAATAGAAAGACTTCGCAGTGACTATTGTTTAAGGGCGGTCAGGATGTCTTAAGGTAGTCATCGGAGTAAAAATGCGACGATGCAATACCTTTTTGACAATGCATGAAAAGGGGCATTAAATTAATTTACTATTATCATTAAATAGTAAAACTAGTGTCCTCTTTTAATTGTTGACAATATGCCGGAGGAAAAACTTGTGGTACCGCAAAGTTCTTATGTGTTCAACTCTTTTGCTTAATATAAATGCATTCTGGATTAAGTAATCCCGGCCATAAACCATACCCCTGTCTTCATTTAAATTTCAAAGTATACAACTTCTAGGGGTTTCGATGTTCCAAGGCAAGAGAAACAATGAGAGTAGACAACTAATAGATCTGACTTGTCTGCTTAGAAGTCTTGTTTTAACCTAAAATCAATTTTTACTTCAAAGGAAGTTTGCGGTTTAAAATAAAACATAGAGAACCAGAGCCATACCTGAAATCCTTTAATATAGTCCTATTTACTCAGCATACACCAAAGGAATGAATAATACCTTTATGCATAAGTATTAAGCTTCATTAGTTTTTTGCATATTCTATGACCAACCAGGATAGTACATTGATCTTGATTCCATTAAAATGACGACAGTAAGCGCCGTTCGCTTGTATTCTCAAGAAGTAGAAGCGATAACCAGACGGTAATTAAAAACTGTGAAGACATCAAAAGGCACTTCTGCAGATCTCACAGGATCTAAATGGATTAGTTCTTCAATCTTGACAATGCAACCGTAGGAGAATGAGTCGTAGTAATCGGAGAGCAGTTAGGAGGCTTCATTAGTTTCAGAAGCCTATGAGAAGCGTGTTTTATCCTTCGGAAAATATACCCACAGTTGGCTATACATGAAGATTTGGTGGGAAATGTTACGGACGAGGCGGCTAGTTTGGCCTGACTTGTCTGTGGTTCTCTAATTCTCCAAGTGACGGCGTCAGTGAAGCTCAGTTGCCTACCGGGTGGCATTCATTATGTCAAAATACCGCTTTCGTTTGAGACCTTTAAATAGGCGTCCATTAACACCTAAATACCAATGCGTGGTTCGCTATTTAATCTTAGTCAGGTCAAGGAAACATTTGCATTCGCCATAAAACTCTCGTTAGGGCAGTTCTTCCATACGCCACCCGTAGACACAGCGGGTTATCCGTAGTCAGGACACAAGACTGGCTCATTCTTTCCGGGGTTCCCAGTCGGCCTCTGAGGGACTTGTATGCTAAGCAACGTTAACGGATAGTAAACAATTTTGATAAAAAACTTTGATAGTGCTATATATCAGAAGACGATTCGGCAAGCAGAATGCTTGGATAAATTAACTCCAGACCTGTACCATTATGCAGCAAGTTGGCAGTTACGCACTCTTTAGATAAGGTCCAATTTTCATTCTGATGCGAACTATTCATGCGGTCTCGTGATTTCCACAGAAATGAGAACCAGCGAACCCAAGTCGATAAATCCTAACCGTTAGAATAATTTTCTCCAGTTGGGACAGGCTGAAATCTCGGAACAACCGAAAACAACATCTGTGCCCCTGGACATGAAAGAGGAGAAGAAGGATCACGTGATCTGTTTAATAACTCTTCATTAAATTTCGAGAGCGAGTGAAATTCCCAGAGTTTTGTTGTAGTCCAGTACTCTACGGTATTTAACTATGGTCCTGGGTGCGCTGGCGTATTGTTGGTCGAAAGTCGTCATTCGGCGAATGCGAGGAAGTGAATGACATAATGCGACAGCCTCCATCAGCCTGCCGTGACGCGCCGACTGTGGTACGAAGGCGGCGGAGGTTATGGGAAGTTGCCGAAACGCAGTTACTGCCCAGTTTGGCGTCGCGCAAATCGCCACGTGACCGTCAGGGCTCTGATGTGTGCCCAACCGTGCGACTGTTCTTTCGACTGCCGATTTCGGCATTTTAGAAAGCAAATGTCGTATACCGCATCTAATGCAATTGCGGAAAGGATACCTACGTCGGACACACTGGGAGATTACTTTAAATGTGAATGACCGAGCACGCAGGAGTAATGAGGGGAAAAACGCTAACTCTTCAGTGGCGGTCGATTCGACCGGAAGTGGCCATATTTTCAAGCCTCAAGAGGCTAAAATCCTCGCAAGAGGTGACAACTGCATGAGCGGCGTGCTGATTGAGTCGTGGTTCCCAGGCCCACTGTCCTTCAACAAGTATAATGACCTTCCGTTACCATATTCTATGCTGAGACTTTCCCTAGGTAGGAGAATCAGTCACGTGGGAAGGGCGCAGGCAAACGGCCGAGTAATTATCACACCAACATCCAATACGGATAGTGAAATTGAGGCCATTAATGACTCGGGAGTGGACTGACAAGCCATAATCGCATTAATTACGACTCCCAGCGGTGATCGCGAGGGCTGCTAATTATAGTACACATGTGGTCCCACGGCAGCTACGTACTATAAATACTAATCTCCTTGTGCTTCCACAAACTTTATCTACAACGCGCTCTTATGATGTGTCCGAAGGAGAATCCGAAACACCAGGCCAATAGATTTCTTGGTCCAGTGATCGCATATACTTCCTCTGAACTGCATCCGGGAACTCGCCTGTTGACTTCTATCGGCAAATGTAAACCGTTTGCCACCAGCACCAATAGATCCATATCTTCGACCCCTTGACCTGCTTGTTCACGAGGTCTTTAGCTGACAGACCCCGACGCCAGACACGTCAGGAAAATCACCCACTGATCCTGCGACATGCTCTTCTTTTACTAAAACACATATGTCGGTAAAATAAATATAGCATCGTAGGCCGGTTAGGCTAGATTTAATTTAGCAATTTCGTTGAAAACCTTTTGTTGTTGTTGTTGTTGTTGTTGAGTCTTCGCATCTGAAAAATCACCGCGTTATCATCACCGTAAATTTGACAGTGCTTCTTACGTAAGTTTAAATATAATGGAAAATTTTAGAGCGAAAAATAATCAATATAACACAAAAGGGTAGAGCGTTTACCATTTCGAGCAGAGGTACGCGCCCCTTAGAGAAGATGATCGCGTTTGGGGGTGTCGATGCAGGCAACATGAAGGCGAGTGAGGTTGCGATCGTCAGCGGGATACTGAGGAGGAAGGGGTGGACTTGGATCGACTGACACTAGATCAAAGGCATCAGAAAGAAATTAGATAACTTACGTGTTCACCAGCAAAAGCCGACCTGAACAATAGTTTTTCGTGAGACATGTGCAGATGAAAGTGACGACAAAGGCAAGGGAGATTGGAATAACTACTTCCGGTTTATTAGCCGTCGTCAGTCAGCCTTACCCAAGTCTAGGTTGTGCCACAGCTGAGGCTCGAATCCGAATTCTTGGCTCAGCCTTCTGACATTGGGCCAGGGGTCCATTTTCCTGCCGGTTGTGACCGGAAATATCTACTTATTTTGACGGTGCATTCACTGTCCGGATTACGGGACACGCGCGTCCCGTTGTGCCTTGGTCGCTACGCTATTGCCTTCGAGAGATATACAGTAGGTGGGTTATCTCATGATATTTCAACAGAAACTCCGAAATGCGTTTCCGTTTCGAAAAGATTAATTAAGTAGGGTTTTAAATCCAATCATCACGCGACATAATTCTAGAATAATTCAGTTACCGTAGGACGCCGGCTTTCGAACAGACTTCTCTTCGGCTGCATCCAAAAATCGTACTCTGTAAAAAATGGCTACTTAATTAGCATGCATTTTTTTCATTGATTTACGATACCCTTAAAGATTCCATTATATTTCATGGAAAACATGCATAAAAATATTCATTCTGTTGCTCATTCAGTAGACAATGACGTCCTCTTTCAATTTTACACTCGATGAAATGGTATAATTCGGTTTTAAAAAAACTTTTCCAATTCTCGAATAATTTTGAACCCAACCCGCCTGTTACACTTGCATTTGGGGTTCCCAAACGTCAAGCCGTATAATTTCCCCAAACGGAAAACCATACATTTCTCTACGATAATAAAGCGGGACCATATAGGGTTCATAAAATTTAGCAGTGGATTCGATCCATATTGTTCACTTTACAAGCGGCATTGGCAAATGCAGAGTCATGACGTTTTATGAAGGGCCCCTTTCACGTTATTTAAAAGTCTCAAAATTAGAAACTTTTTAAAACCGAATTATGTCCTTCCTTCGGGCAAACAATTGAAAGAAGGCGTACTTTCCTAACGAATGAGCGGAAGAATGAATAATTTATTGCATGTTTTTAAGGAAATAAAATCAAATCTTTAAGGGCATCGGAAATCGATGAGAAAAATGCATGCTACTTAAGCAGTCATTTTTTACGGAGTATAGTTTTTGTATGCAACCGGAAGAAAGTTCGAAAGCCGGCATTCTGTGGTAACTGGATTGTTATATAATTATGTTGCAGGCTGAATGGCTTTACAACCCTACTTAATTAATCTTCTCTAAACGGAAACTGATTTCGGAATTTCTGTTGAGATTTCGTGTTAGCCCACTTACTTCAAAGCACAGCAGGGCAAGAGTGTCCTGTAACCCGATTGCAAGAACTGTCCGATCGAGTAGGAGATATTACTCCTTGAAACAGGCACTAGGCCAGACCGAGTGGTTATGTTCTGCGCAGAGCGACAATCCGCTGCATTAGTAGTCCTGGTTCGCGGGGGTTTGAAAGGTTGTAACTTCTTGCAATCACAGCTCCATTAGTTTGGTTTTTTGCTAAATCGATTTCCAGCCTTCTGTACAATTACATTATCCATGCCTACTAGCGAGAATTAGACATATATGTGCTAAAAGTGATCGTTCCAAGAAATGTAGTTAGAAATAAATCACGTTTTTACGAAAGAAATAACTCTAATTGCACAAATTTTCGAAACTAGTGTCCGGTTGGTCTTCAGACAAACCATGCCTGTCGAACGGTTATGTAAATAGCTGACGTTTATACCAATAGGCGCCCGCTGTATTCGGTTGCCTGGTCGGCATTGGCTGTCCTCTCTCCATCTGACCTCGAAAATGTACACGGCACGTGAATCGATGTGCTTCTTCAAGCATGCCCGGTCCAAGTAAATATGTTTCCAGAACCTCGCGGAGCTTCTTTGTTGGGCGGACACCAACGAAGTGGGTTTTCTCTCATACACATATGTGTCCCGCGTCCGGTGTCTGCATAGTTATCTGGAATAAATAGTCCCTTATCTTCACGGCTAGTTGCTGCTCATGTGCACGGGTGGGAAGAGATTCCCCGGTTTGGCCACAATAAAATGCAACGCAACTGGCACATGACTTTTTTATAGACGATTTGTTTTCTTTCGAGGTAGCCAACCGCAACAAGCTGGCCGCACAGTGTATTTGCATGCTTGGACGCTGTCTGTGTCTGGTGTTTGTTCAGCGGTCTTCTGACGGGCTTAGCTTCATTCGCACACAAGACGGAGTTCGCAAGCCGGTTGGTTTTGGAATTTGGGCGGTCTTTGCTCTGGAACCACCCTTTTTCCTTAAACGTTTCCGCCGCATGTACTGACGGACAGTTAGTAGAATGCACATTCTGCGAACATAGTGCAGAAATGTATTTCATTTCCGTTTAATAAATGCCTGCATCAGAACAATGGATTTTAGCTTGGCTTATTCAGCTGTTAACGGAGTTGCACCTGTGCGACATGGTGTGGTTACTCCCAAAATATAATATGGCCTCACATTGTTAACTTTACAAGCTACATTGATAAGTGCAGAGACATGACAATTTGTGAACGGCCATTTAACGATATTTAAAAGTTGCACAAATAGAAACTTTTTAAAACCGAATTGTGTCCCTCCTTTGAGTATAAAATTAAAAGAAGACGTATTTATCTACCGAATGAGCAAAAGAATGAATATTTTTATGCATGTTTTCCTTGAAATATAATTGAACTTTTAAGGGCATCGAAAATTAATGAGAAAGATTCGTGCTACTTAAGTAGTCTTTTTGCAGAGCGTAGTTTTTGCATGCAGCCGGAAGGGAGTTCATTTGAAAGCAGGCGTCCTGAGTTAACTGAAATAGTATAGAATTATGTTGCAGGCTGACAAGTTTTACAACCCCAGTTAATTAATATTTTCGAAACGAAAACGCATTTTGGAATTTCGGTTGACATTTCATGAGTTAGCCAACCTACTGTACATATTTGCACTGGACACATGAAACCCGTCCCCTTTAATCAACACATCTGCCTCCCGGTTCTGTTCGGATGTGCACAGAAGCTTCGAGGTAGGAACCAAACATTATCACAGGATATGAGATTCGGTCTCCTAGATACACCTTCAAAGTTCCACCGGCGACTTTCCACTTTTCCTTTAAGACCGAGGCTGGCATACTCACCGACGCATATAAAGGCTATTTCCTCCAGAGAAGAAGTAATTATGCAGGCGACAGATGGCGGGCAGCCGTAAAGGGTGATTATCGGCACATGGGTCAAACTTGCATAGTTGGCGTACGAACGTACGTCAGCCTGATGACAACTCACCACAAGTACGTTCACTCCCTAATGATCTGACCCGCGTGATGATTCATTTCTGAGCGGGTTCTTCTTAGCCGCCATCATTTAATCTGCCGCCTGATGTTTTGCATATGTTAGTTTTTCAACTCACGAAGCAATCAAAAAAACACTAAGATTCGCCGAATTGCTCCGGGTAAGTGGAATGCCGGGGACTTACCAAGTCAAAAACAATAGGCGCCAGAATGGTCACCGTGGCGGCATTGGTGATGACTTGTGTAAGAATGCCGCCGATGAGTGCCACAATGCAGACGTTTGCAAGGGACGGAATTGACCTCATAGCACTTAGGGCTTCGCTGATCACGTTTGACAACCCACTGACCTTAAAAAAGAAACAAGGTATGACAAACTCCCCTTTCAATTTGACAAACAAACTTTACTTTGGGGGAAAATCTCCTCTTGCACAAAAACAAGGAGACGCTTGGAATTCGTTGGGGTAATTTTCCATGATGCTAGACTGTAGACTTACGCAGTATCTTATCAGAGCTCTCAAAACTGACCCACGTTCCCACAAACTTAAGCCGCCCCCTCGATCGTTTTAAGCAACTGACCAATAAGAAAGGTATTTAGATGATGGGGTGCGTTTGCTTCATATTGCTTTACAGACGAAGACACCTAACCAGGCCAATTTAGGCCTGACTTTTCTTCTGGTGTGGGACAGGTATTCGCAAGTAGATCAGTTCCTTCTGAGCCTGTTCTCGCGCTCTTGAGGCTGAATCATGTGCATTCATGCAGTTTCGATGAACGCAGCTTCGTTTCAGTATAAACACGGTCTGGTCTGCCTGCCATTTTAGTTATCTGCTCAGGACGTTAAGTCGTATCTATAATACTGGGTCTGAGTCTTTGCGGTTTCTTCCTAGTCTGTCGGCGCCTACACCAATGAGAACGTAAGGCAACCGTCTTTTTCAGGCAGTGGTCTGCAATTCCGGTGAATTGGTCACCCGATTGAAGTTGGGACAATTTCAGCACCGTTATTATGTTCATCGTGCTAGTTTTATGCTCGTTCTGGGAATCAGGGATCCAATCTTGTCGTCTAACTATTAGGACCCTTCGAATGCATCACAGATGAAAGTATTTTCGTGGCACGCACACCTTATCTAACCTCCCGCGCATTCTAAAGAGGCACGCAACACAAGGTCGATGTGCGCATTCTGATTGGTCAAAAAGATGATACCACAATAGTTCTATACAGGACATTTGACATTCCGACGGTCGGGATTTTCGTTTGTCTTCCATGGAAGCGTAATTCCTGAAACACAACTACTGGCTTTTATGCATGTCGGAGAGGGGTTGTAACTCCTATCACGAACTCTATCAGTCTTTCGAGCGTTCACTCATCTACTGGTTGTGAACCTGGGAATATAGCAACCCTTCCGATACTAAAGAAATGATAGTTGAGGATGATTATTAATGACTGAAAAGTTGTACTCTCCAACTTTGTCGCTCCCTACATGGTCATATCTAAAACTTGGGTTTCTGTATGTCGGCCTCTAGTGAGCCAATCGAAAAAGGAGTGCTCTCACAATCCCCGAGGACAAAGATCAAAGCTATATGGGTCCTCTCAGACAAATTCGTCCTTGCATCCACGCCCAGGGTTTCTGCACCCGCGCAAAAACCCAGGAACTATTAAAGGACTCGAGCCACGAGGATGACTTTTGAATTTCACAAGCTTTAAGTGTTTTTGAAATGCTCCCAACAGAAGGAGTGAGGGGCTGAACACCAAGATTTCGGAAACACGTTTCGCTCATCTGTTTGCTAATGAAGTAAACAAAGGGCAGTTTCTTTGGCACGCAGGATTCATCTGGTTCATTTCCTAATGTCGTGTAAACAGCGTGACCAGCGTCTATGAAATTCGGTAGAATAACCGAGACACGTGCGTGTTTCTACTGCACTCAGAGTGATAATTATAGATTTGCACGTTTTCATGAAACCCCGGGCCAAAAATGACAAGTCCGGTTGGAATGATTACACTCTTAGGTCGTCCATTAAGGTCTGGCAGAATTGTGAGGGCTCATATTGTATTACAGAAAATGCGGATTTTCATCTTGTCTTTTTCTCTTGGCTACTTGCACATATGACAGGGGGAGAATAGTATCGGAACGAAATCTTTGAGGGGTGGCTTGCTGTGGCTTACCATAATGACCTTCGAAAGGGCATATCCGCCGCCCATTAGGAGAATGACACCCCAGCTGCATCCTTTATTTGCTTGCTCCCAGGAGATAAGGCGCGAGTCGATCCTCTTGAAGGCCTGGTCTTCTAAAATTTGTGGTCAAATAGACGGATTTTAGCAGTGAAGTGTTGAGCTGTTCATCTCGGGGATTCACTAAAGCGGTAGGAGAGTTCACTATGTCTACAGGCGTGTTACGGTAACAGGCATTTAGGTAATCATCCCATTAAATCTATGAAAAGTTAGGTGTAGGCGAGAAGGTTGGCCGATCCTGCGCATTCTCCGCCAAAAAGCTGTCCCGCCGGTTCGAAATCGAAGCTGGAGTGCGGCTGGTTGATGACGAGTAACAAATCCAAAACGGCTTAGTACGGCAGCCCTATACCTTTCTAGTTACTTTTCAGCACAATTATATATATATATATATATATATATAAATTTGCTCAGGAATGGGCGCACACTGATCCATTGGCTTACCGATGCAAACAAGCTTCACATGGGGGATAAGGGCAAAGAACAGGCAAACATCTACCAGGCCGATGTCGGCCAAGCTGTGATAGCAGAGGGTAGACGATAGAGTTTGGGGTGCAGATTGACACAACAACATTTCGGGTTCGTTTGCCGTCATTCAGCCGATCATAACTCTAGTCACCAGCTGCGACCGGAAATACAAACATGCGCTCACACACTTGGCACACGCAGCCGGTCCACCACTGGGGTCTACCAGACGGGTCATAAGCACTTCATCAAACCGAAGTTAATTGGTGCCTCGCCATTTACCATCCTCTGTAGCTGCAGACCGGATATACATATAGTTATGGTAGGGGGCGCTCACCGATCGTTCTTACGGAACTCACTCGTTCCGTAGTGCCTTATGGGCCCTCTCTCGAGCCCAACCAGCAGCCGCACAGCGGCACATGATATATAGGCAGAATAGCATTACCGACAAAGACAAGGGAGACTGGAATGGCCATTTCTGACTTATTAGCCGTCGTCAGCCGGCCATACCCAACCCCGAAGTGTGGAACACCCGAGGCTCGAACTCGCGACCTGTTGGTTTAAAGGTCCACGCCTCTACCCACCGAGCCACGAGCCCGTTGCCCTGTCGGTTTTCGATCGTTGGACTTTAACTAACAGGTCGCGAGTTCGAGCCTCCGGTGTTCCACGCATCGGGGTTGGGCATGACTGGCTGACGACGGCTAATAAGCCACAAAAGGCCATTCCAGTCTCCCTTGTCTTTGTCGGTAATAACCTTCTACATATTGCTATATATAAAGTGTTGTACCTACAAAGACAACGGAGATCGAAATAGGCGTTATCAGCCGGTTATATGCAGTCACAAATGTAGATCAACTGGGATTCTGACTCGGGATTTTTGGTCATTGAGTCGAATGTCCTACCACTATATCACGGACTCGGCGTGCTGCCGCTCGTGATCGGGAATTTTAATTATGACAGACTAGAGCTCCCCAACCAGGTTACGGGGAATGCTGGCTCCTTTGCGCCTATTGGCTTTTGGAGAGTATAAAACACTGACAAGCAGGAGTGTGGTCGGGCAATTGCACTGACAGAATTTTTCCTTAAATGATAGCGAGTGAGGCTAACTGACCACATTACTTCCTTAGATTAGGCATAACTAACCTCTCTTGGCGCGAGAAACTCCAATTAATAATGGCTCAAAGTAAATGTCAACTTTAGTGTCAAGCATTCTTTCGTGTATGAAGTCCACGCATCTGTAAAAATCAATCTCATGTTTAAAATGAGAATTATTTCACGTCTGCAACCATGCGTTCAATGACTCTAGGTGAACCATCGCATGGATTATGAGCTCTTTTGGAGGAATTCAACTTTTACAAGATTTATCTGTGGCAGAACAGCCCTAATGTTTTGGCATTATATTGACAGTTATATCCAATCCAAAAAGGTGGCTTAAAAGTGTTACGAGACAATAGACAAACATCCTACCTCTTTCCTCCGCATTTAAGCGCACTCGCAGAGGATTGGTTGCAGGCAGCAGAAATGCCAATATCACGAAGAACACTGTAGCCTGAACGTCGTCGACAAACCTTGGGAAAAAGTTAAGTTTTCAGGACTGACTAATTTATCACTTACTCTACTACTCTGCCCTTGGCATCCTTAGTAGTCGGCATCAAACGTGACCAGCCGGGTACTCCAGGTTCGCGGCCAATCCAAAGCAGGATGAGCAGGACAAACATGATAAGACATGATATCTCTCCATATCTAAAAAAATACAGAGGAATGGCCTTCAATAATTGACCAGACAAGCGGATATGCATTACAGTCGTTAGTATACCAGCAATGCGCATTCTTCAAGCGGTCTTTGTTTCGCTATCACTGGTGTGCGATCTGAGTCGTCCATACGAAGGTCCGCCGCACGTTGTGGGAGCCAGGTCGTGTGCGACACGATTAGCCGGGTTATTCAACGATGCCAGCCACCAGGCCGCATTAGCACCGTTTTGATTTCGGGGCAGGGTGGATGAGTGAGGGGAGAGGGAGATACAGTAGGTGGGCTAACTCATGAAATGTCAACAGAAATTCCGAAATGCGTTTCAGTTTCGAAAAGATTAATTAAGTAGGGTTGTAAAACTAGTCAGCCTGCAACATAGTTCTATAATACTTCAGTTATCTGAAAATGCCGGCTTTCGAACGAACTTCCATCCGACTGCATGCAAAAACTACACTCTGTAAAAAATAACTGCTTATGTAGCATGCATCTTTGTCAGTGATTTTTGATTCCCTTAAATGTCCAATTATATTTCATGGAAAACACGCATAAAATATCCATTCATTTGCTCATTTGGTAGAAGATTATGTCTTCTTGCAATCTTATACTCGAAGAAAGGATATAATTCGGTTTTCAAAAACTGTTCCAATTCCGGAATAATTTTAAATCCGCTCTACCGTTATTTTTGGATTCAGGGTTTCCAAACTGCATGCCGTATATTTTCCGCGCACGGAAAACCACACATTTCTCGACGGTAATAAAGGGGAGCCATATAGGATTCATAAAATTTAACAGTGGATTTGATTAATATTGTTACCTTTACAAGTCACATTGGTAAGTGCAGAGACATGGCGTTTTATGAAGGGCCATGTCAAGATATTTAAAAGTCCTACAATTAGAAATTTTTTTAAAACCAAATTATGTCCCTCCTTTGGGTACAAAGTTAGCAGAAGACGTGATTTTCTACCGAATGCGCAAAAGAATGAATATTTTTGCATATTTTCTATGAAATATAATTGGACATTTAGGGGCATCGAAAATCAATGAGAAATGTTCATGCTAATTGAGTTGTCCTTTTTTTACTGAGTGCAGTTTTTGCATGCAGCCGGAAGGAAGTTTATGCGAAAGCCGGCATCCTGCGGTAACTGCAGTATCATAGAATTATGTTGCAAGATAATTAGTTTTACAACCCTACTTAATTAATCTTTTCGAAGCGAAAACACATTTCGGAATTTCGGTTGACATTTCATGAATAAGCCCACCTAGTGCACATGCCGCGAATGTCTGCCTTTCTGTGAATAAGTCCCCAGTGCTGCGTCCAATCCGCAGGCATGGGCCGAACGTCGTTGCTCGCGGCGGCCAAACTGTCACTCAAGCGCCGAAGTTGGATGACGCATAAATCTGGTTAAAGTTATGTTTTTTCCGATGGGAAACAAACGAACATGCTGAATAGATGTGCCAGTTAAGGCCTGCCATGTGCGGTCGTGAAGAAAGGACAGCTCACGGTGCTCTACTCCGACGAAAACCTCTTCACGGTCGATTCGGTGTCCAACAGCCGAACAGGTCTCTACATAAGCCTCCTGAAGTCAACGAGGAGTAAGTTGTGATTTGGTAGCCCCACCTGATGGATACAATGCTGTTGGGGTTGGGGTTAAGGGTTAAGGTAAGGATTTATGGTTAGGTGTTATGTTTAGGGGTTATGGTTAGGGTTAGGGGTAAGGGTTTAGAATTAGGGGTTATACTTTGGAGTTCCGGTCGAGGTTAGGGGTTAGCGCAACTAGTTCTCAACCATCCAAAGTACAAATGCGCATTCCCAATAGCTTTTTTCATAAAACTACTTGACCTCGTCGCCTGGGCGTTCTCCGGCTGCACCTGTAAAAATCCCTATTACCACCGGTCCCGTTATGCAGGTGGTTGGGGTTTCTTTACTTCAGGCGGGGCTACACAACCAAATCTGACTCAACGAGGTACCTGACAATGTCAGGTAAAAGTTTCAGATTAAGCACTCCGCGTCAGTGATGGTCTTTGGCCTGACTGACTCAGACAGCAAAGTCATGCCACCTGTGTTCACCGAGGTCGGGGTCGAAGTGAACACAGACGTGTACCTGGTTGTTCTTCAGAAGCATGTGAGGTGTCCTAGATATATTCCAACTACACTGCAGACGACACTGTGGTCTCCGAGCAAGATGGCGCGCCTCCACATATGTCACGGAAGACACAGAAGTGGATGGAAGACCACATGTCTTATTTCGGGCCCAAGAATATGTAGCCTCCATATTCAACCGCTTAATTTCCATCGGACACAGAATTTAGGCCCATGTCGAGGAGAAGGTCTGCGACAAGCCTCGCAACAGTATTGAGGCCTTGAAGGTCTCCACTGCTAGGGGGAGGAACAAAACGTCACCGGAGTACATCAGGAACACGTGCACCAAGTTCAGACCGAAAATCGAATTAGTCACTGCTAACAGTGATTCTCATATTGCATAGCTCCTTTCTAATGTGAATATTGAGTTTTTTTTACGTAGAATGCACTCGTTCCGCCAGTCACTAGTTGTTAATCTGGGTCAGGCTGGGGTTTGAATCACTCAACTTACGAAATTAACGGCCGCATACGGTATATATGAAAGCTCCGATAAATGTCTAGGCTTGCAGACTTCGAAAAAAGGTAGAGCTGAAATATTTTAGGGCTATTGATTACGGTTATGCATAGGGACCAATTACAGCTGCTGAAAATATACTTCTCAACAACAGACCCAACTTCAGTTTGTAGATAAAGTACATGAACGATCGGTGAGTGTCCCCTACCATTGTATATTCCCGATCGAAACCGACAGGGCAACAAGCTCGTGGTCCAGTGGTTAGAGGCGTGAACTTCTAACTAACAGGTCGCAAGTTCGAGCCTCGGGTGTTCCACGCTTCGGGGTTGGGTATGACTGGCTAACGATGGCTAATAAGCCAGAAATGAGCATTCCAGTCTGCCCTGTCTTTGCCGGTAATAACATACTGCCTATTACATGAACTCTCTGGCCGATGACAGCCTTTCCTACTTCAAAGGGGATATATCGAAATGAAATATGAAGCACCTTTTGGAGTATCGGATTTGCTTCTCAAGCTCTGTCGCCACCTGGGATAGCAGCCCAATCGCATAGTGAGAAAACAGAGTTATTTTTGAAGTACCAAACAAAAATGCGCGTCTTACTTGATGGAACCCAAGGCTAGACTCTCCTCTTCGACTATCTTCTGCACCGCCGAGGTGATAGTCACAGATGCGTCCCTGCTTCCCACCTCCTTCTCCTCCATTTCAGGGTTCGTTGACACAGTGCCGTCTCCAGGAAGGAAAGCAGCACGTGCCTCAGTTGCGTCCTTGCGGGGGTGTTTATCTTTCTTAGTGCACTTGAAGAAGGCCCTGCGTTTGCAAAAAGGGATAAACATAAACGACATGCTAGCAGCAAACAATCTCTCATTTTGGAATTAGTCACCGGGCCAAACCATCCAGGTGGGCAGTCAGCCTGTCGGAGGGCATGAGGGCTATGAAACAGGTGAAGATTCAGAGTCGAAGGGGGAGGGTTCAGTCCCTTAAAGTCTCGTGGTATTGAGAGTGTAAAATAGGGGGCTGGGGGATGTCACGCTGCCAAGATAAATAGAGCCCAGGCGTTGAGTGGGGTGCTTAGGGCCAGGGTAGGGCCTCTATGAGGTCTTGACGCGCGTTCCTTTCTGCACGCCGGTCTTGACCCTGATCCCCAGTATGGATCAGAATATTCTGCTGCAGAGGTCCGCCGCACCACTCACCCGAACACGTTACCCTCGTCTCCTGCACAATCAAATATAGGCGAAATTTCGAACAAGAGAACCAACTGGCGGGCATATATATGGTGCGTGACCGATCTCATGAAATGTTGGCCAAAATTCTGCAATGAATTTCCGATATTAGGAAGGATTACTTAAGTGGGGTTGTTATACTGATTATCATGAAGTATAACCCCATAACGTTTCTGACTCGTCAGGATGTCGGCTTTTGAATGCATGCCTTTTTGACTTCCTGCAGAAAGGCCAGTCGGTAAAAAATGACTACCTAATTAGCATGCATTTTCGTATTGATTGTCGGTAGTCTTATAAATGCAAATATATGTTACAGAAGGCATGCAGAAAAATATGCTTTCTCCTGCTCATTTGGTAGGAAATCACATCGTCTTCATATTTTATGCTCGATGAAAGTTTGTATTTAGGTCTTAAAAGTTTCCAATTATGAGATTTTTAAGACCGTGCAATGTCTATGCATGCAAGACAGCACATGTCCGTTTACAAATGCTTCTCATGAAGTGTAGAAGACAGTCCGGATCCATTGCAACACTTCATGAAATCCGTGTGGTATCTTCTTAAAGACATAGAGGAATATGTAATTTTCCGTACGCGGAAAGCATGCACCTTGTAGACTGAAATTGCTAAACGCCGATGTAATGGCAGATCAGGTTGAAAATTACTCGAGAATTAGGAAACTTTTTTTAAAAGCTAAATACGCACATTATTCGGGGATAAAATATAAAGACAATGTGATTTTCTATCAAATGAGCAAAAGAAAGCATATTTTGCGCATGTTTTCGATAAAATATATTTGAATTTATAAGACTACCGAAAATCAATACGAAAATGCATGCTACTTAAGTTGTCATTTTTTACCAACTGTCGTTTCTGTAAGAAGTCAAAAAAGCATGCATTCAAAAGCCGACATCCTGGGGAGTCAGAAACGTTATGGGGTTATGCTGCATGATAATCAGTATAACAACCCCCCTTAAGAAATCCTTCCTAACATCGGGAAATTATTGCAGAATTTTGGCCAACATTTCATGAGATCAGTCACGCACTGTACACTTTCGATAAATACTTCTCAGGCCAGTACGTTTGTATGGGAATGGAGTGGAGAAAAACATGTCAGCGATTAGAAAAATTGATTAAAGTTAGCCTCAATACTCAAATGGCATGTGGGAATGAGCGGGGAAGGGGGTAATAAAGGGCAGCTAAGGTTGCGGAGAGTCATGTGGGGAGTATTTTCGTGACTCTAGAATTATGAGTCGGGAAGAGCTGAAGTCCTTTTTTATCTGTCTGACTCCAGAAGATATGTTTGCTGAAGCTCTGCCACAGCAACTCGGAATTAACGAAAACAACAATATTAGACTAAATGTTCCCATACGGAAGTTTGAAACCCACTCGAGCTTACCTCGGACCGAGATAGATGAGGCAAAGCACAATCCACACAGCGAGAAGGCAGAGAAGAGAGATGGGAAAGGCAAAGGCCATCCAAGATCCAAAGTTTAGCGGAGTGCCTTCGCCAAATCGGCTGCAGTAAGCAAGACAAGTGGGATCGGCTTTCAGACAAAAGCATCTTACTGCAAAAACAAAGTTTAATAAAGTGATTGGTTGCTGTCGACAGCAAGGTGCCAGCAAGTAGGCCGATAGCAAGCCGTTGGTAGTCGAAGTAGGCGGGTACATTTTAAGCCTATAGTTTTGACCCTGAGGGTAGGCAGCTAATAGAGCGGATGAACTGAAGGCTTATGCTGCCTTGTATCGGGACTCTGGTCATTTCCTTGGACGGCTCGGCTGTCGCAGGTAACATCATCGACAGTGTGGCGCACCAATGACTTCCGCAGCACATACCGCACTCTCTTCCTTTCCTCATACACCTGGTTCCGGTGGCAAAATAGTGTCAAGGCGGCCGGAAGTGAGCGCGGGAGGGGGGCGCAGTGGCCAAACAACTCGACTACGCGTCCTACACACAGCCCCCTCCTTACTACATGTGCCAGGTCTTCATGAGCACAGTCCAGATCTCACGCCATCAAGGGCGTCGTGGAGACTGAGTTATGATGGAGTCACCGCAGTCTGACTCTCACTCATGAGAGGGAGCGGGCTATCCCGTTTTTTTGAAATCTTCAAAACTACAACAGATAAGGCCTGGGGCTAAGCTTAAGCACACCAGACCTGTTATTAGGGAGGGGTACGTTGTTTTGCCAGCGTCAGTTTCCCTCGTTCTTTTACCCCCTCCCAGTGCTTTAGTTGACGTTCTCAGACTATCAATCAACGGGTGAGGGGTAGTGGCGTAGTGACTGGCAATCCTTGAAGAACAACGTCTACAGCGTGCTACCACACGCAAACAACGGTATAGAGAAGGACCCCACTTAACTGTCAGCAGACTGACGGATATAATTGACCTAAATATAGTGATTGTTTACGCCCTTCAATCTGCTCCAGTTATTATGCCTAGGTCGAAAAACCATCTTTCCCGGCTGCAAAGACCCTGTACCGGAGGTTCAAGACACACCTTGATATTTTAATTAACCGTGTCAAAGTAGGTCGTATCCTTACATCATTATTCTCCGTCGGAGGAAAACGTTTACTTTAGATCTAGGTCAGCAGCGCTGAGCTCATTAGACGGCTGACGAAAACCATGCCAAGAGCCAAGTTAGCTATCTTTCTTGGACGCCCTAAGGTTTCCTCGCTGTATCATCTCATCGAGTGAGAATCGTCTCATTAGACGTAGGCTGTCTACTTCAATCGGAGCGTAGTTCGCAGACAACGGCGGTCAAAAGCGAACACCGTTCACCCTTCGCAATGGTAAAGACAACTTGACAAATGGATGACCTTCAAACGGTCGAGTTCTCGTGCCCCGTATGTAGACACCTCGGATGGCCTGCAAAAACCCTAAGCAATTGCTTCCCTTGACTTCACACCCTAACTCAAAGTTCGTTATTTTGTGAAATTTGCTTTTTGCTTATTGTTTGATTACTACTCTCATTTCCGTTGTCGTATAATAGCGTAGGATAAGACTTTCGGCATAAATCCAGGCAATTTCTGTGTTTTCTTTCGTTTTGTCAGCTTGCTGCCTAGCGTGCTGCCCCACACATAAAACCTCCCTTACCATAAATCACGTATGGTACGATTCACAGACTACTGACAGGTAAGTGGGGTCCTTCTCTATACCGTTGCCCCGCACGCATGTATAGCAGTATTTTCGGTCTCTCACGGACTCTTTGCTGACCGATAAATGCGTTTCCTTAACGTGTGTCGAAAGACTTTTGAAATATTAACCCTTTTTGTGTAATTTGATTAGCGAACACGAATTCTCCACGAAGTTTGTTCAGAGTGAATTTGAGCCGGCAATTATGTTTGAAACAGGGCTGACCTAGAAACTAGTCCGTAAAATATTGTATTTGTCGCCGTGCCTGTAATTGTGGCTATTCCCCCGCAGGATGAAGCATAGGCGATGGACAGGCTTATGCAGGTTGAAAATCGGTTAATTGCGTCGAGTCTTGTCCTTTTTGTGGGTACTTCCTCCGGTGCAGCCTGGGTTTCACTGTCTCTGAAATAGACAAGGTAAATATAAAGAAAATATGGAGGTAAGGGAATGGAAAGCGGTGCAAAGTTTGTGAAGGGCACATTCAGTTCAGCCGTTAGCTGCAACAAACAGATCATTCACATTTGGGTCAGATACAGTAGGTGGCTTAGATCATGAAATTTCGTGGTCGAAATTTGAGCGAGAAGTATGTCATACAAGACGACGGTTTTATTCGTCGTACATAAAAAAGTGTCATTTTATGCTTATTAAGACGGTTCATAGGAAACATATACCGATGTTCTCTATGAACGTATTAGGAAAAGAAGGCGGGAAATTGACCTTCATTAACAAAGTCGGCTATCAAGCCGCTTTTAAGTAGAAAACGTATTAGAGAACGTTTTTTGTTTGCGAAGAAATATACTGATTACCGACCCTCATCCTGGAAAAGCATGTGCTTCTGCGATGAGGTCTCATTTGTAGACAAGCCAATAAAGCCGACCCAGATGGTCATATGCGGAAAAAAACTTCCAAAAGAGCCCACTGCGCGATGGCAACCTTCAAGAACTGCCGACGGCTAGTGGTTTTGATGGCTATTAAATTCGGAGAGCAGCCAGTCTGGCGGTCGACTACGGACACCATCAACAACAAGGTGTTCGTCGGCATTGTGAAGGATGCTTTTGATCACATCGACATCCATCGACGCCGACTGGATACCATAATTTTAAACGACAATGCTCCTGTCCATCGTTCTAAAGACGTATGCATCCAGTAACGCTTTCAACCGTAATCTAAGTTTTTTGACAAAAGCCAGCCACTCCGCGTGTGGCCTCCAGTTGATTTTTATCCCTGCCAACAGCCCAGATAGCAATCCCATCGAAAGCGTTTCCGCACTTATCAAAAGAAATTAGCACAAGGCGAATAAGAAAATTTCACTGCGAGAAAAACTCGACTTTGTGCTAGACAATCGCATTGAGAAATCCATTATGGACAACCTGGCCATCTCCAGGTCTGACAGGGTTTCTGCAGTGATAAATGCAAACGAAGAATCAACAAAGTACTGATCTTTTGTAATTGTCATTATTGTAAATTTTTTCCCCATTTCATGCGTCCCCCCTTCATTATGTGCCCTTATATTTAGCCCTATTTAAGCAACTTGTAATATAGCAATTTTCTGATACTCCGGTTTTCAGTGAAAATTACTTACTTTCACGTTGGTAAATATTTATTTTAAAACCTAACTATGTCTGCCTTTTTAAGAACACTCGTTTTGTTCAGTGCCTTAAGACTTTGGGAAACGCAGTTTGGGTGAATTTTGCGTTATGGGGATTTTCTTCTGCTAACTCACGACATTTCATGAGTTAGCACACCTACTGTAGTTATTGTTGGTCAGTAACCGCCATCCTCATAACTTTCTGTTTACAATGGTTCTTCAAATGTCAGAAAGTGGGAGGGGGGAGGTGGGTTCTTACGTGTTTTCATGCAGCACGGTGGCCTTGGATTCGGAACCTGCAAAAACAGCATGCGCTTAGCAGGCGGCATAGGTCAAAGCATAGTGAGAAAATGACTTGCAAATGGGTGAACTAAAGTATTTTGTGCGCTTTGAGATACCTTTGGTAACGTCATCCAGTTTTGTGAGCAGAGCCTCCACGATTGTAACCATCATGACCGTGGTTGAGGTGTTGTTCATCCACATCGAGAGAAACCAGGTCGGTAGCATTACACTGAGTATGAGTCTTTCGGAGAGGACGGAAACGAGCTATTGTTAAAATTTGCTCCAGTAGTGTAAGTACGAGAATGAAATACCAAAGACAAACTAAGTCCTGCGAAGCTGAAGTCGTGAGAGAATAAGAAAATATTGCGCTTACTGGAACCGACAGTAGCTTTTGCATCAATGGACAGAGATCTCCTTATAGTGGTTAAGGTTGCCAGTCAGCGGTATGTGAATCCTGGAGGGTAGTTTCATTTATTAAGCGGACCCGCGTTTGAGTCCAATATCATCTAGCCAGGTCATCAACTGAAACACGACAGTTTGACCGTCGTTTCCAACGATATCCACCACGTGCTTTACAGCAGAGTGGGAGCGAGGACGCGGACTTGCGCGTGAATTCGTCTACTGCGATACAAAACTTGCGCGGGATCTACTGCGCTGACTCCTCCTCCTCCTCCTCCTCCTCCTCCTCCTCCTCCTCCGCCTCATCATCATCATCATCATCATCATCCCCCACCTGAGCCCAGTGTCATGACAAGGTCGACAATATCGGACGCGCGAGAATGGGGCGGGTGACTGGCACAGCGAAAACATGCACCTACACGTACCATCAAATCCTCTAGTGCAAAGCCTACACTGACCAGGATTTTACAAAAAAAGAGGGGGCGTCTCAGACCCAAACAGGCGCGGCGTGGGCATGTCACCACACTTCCGAATGTCGGCATTTTCTGTGAGTGCGCATTCCCAATAACATCTGCCGGACTTGGATTTAGGCCCCCCCGCCGTTCTGCTCCAGCGCATCTACCGCGTGGCCTGTTTTCGGGGTAATAAAAAAACATACCTATAGTTACTCTGTGCAGAGGATGAGTCGCTCTGTTTATAACCGGATAACGTTGCACTTGCATTTCTTTGTTTAAATAGGCCTTTGTCAACAATCCGCATATCTTACTGAAACAGGACACTGGTTAAAAACGCAGTAGCACCGGCATAATAAGGACATGCAAAGCAAATAACGTCCGCCGAACTTGGATTTAGCCCCCGTTTTGGTCCAGCGAATTTCCCGCGTGGCCTGTTTTCGGGGTAATCGAAAAAAACATACCTATAGTTACTCTGTGCAGAGGATGAGTCGCTCTGTTTGTAATCGGATAACGTCGGCACTTGCATTTCTTTGTTTAAGTAGGCCTTTTTCAACTATCCGCATGTCTTACTGTAACAGGCCAGTGCTTAAAGTCTCGGTAGCACCGGCACAATAAGAACCTGCGACGCAAGGATCGAGTTCAGCGAGCACTCTGACCATCTGAATTCTAAGGCGCTGATAAAGAGTCTGGGTTTTCCCCACTTCGGCTAACCCATGCGCCCAAATTGCTGCTAAATGTGGAATCTTCCAATTCCAAAACAACAGGCCGACTGTCAAGATGGCTTCTCCCAAACAGAAAAGTGAGAGCCTACCAAATTAAATTGGTCCTTTGCTCGTAGCTTCAGGGTACCGTTGACAGATTTAAATAATTCAGCCGACGGGTCTGGTTACTCCGGGTTGAAGAGCCAAAAAGATATCAACTTCCATCGAATGTACACATATGATCCTCAGCGCGCCTGAAAACTTTACGCACAACAAAAATATGTATACAGTTCACTCACTAGATCTGTATGTACATCATGCAGGCTTAGACTGAATCAACGAGACTGCGATCATGAAACTGCGCACAGATTTGCGCAAAATATGCATGTCGAATTTCTTCGTAACGCACGCTTGGCAGATTCTCCTTTAGCACATTTTTAGCATTCGCAACCAAGACAGAATAATTTTATAGAGTACGTTGTTGGATGAACAGCGAGACTTACAGACGGGGATCGCTGCCCATTCGTCGTACAAAAGCCATTGCAATTCGACGGTGGAGATTTGTATTTTCAGCGGCAACAGCCAAGATCATGCAACTGAGGAAGAGGAGGTTGGAACTCTAGAAGCAAAACGGGCGGTTTGTTTTCGGCCGAAAATTACACAATCACGGCAGTCGATCGAGCAGCAATTTTTTTAGCATGAAAGCGTTTTACTGTTTAATACACAGTGGCACTTTTAAATTCTGAAAGCATTCTCATAACATTGAACTCGTGCATTCCACTTACTGACATATACTCCCTGGAGATGGAAGCACTCGTGACGAGGCCCATAAGCGGCGCGAAAAGAACTGGAAGTAGTGCAGTCACATAAAGTGGAATGAAGCCCGTGATCCAGTAACCGCTCATCAAGAGAAGAAGATAGGCTCCCTTCAGTTCGTTCTGAATAACAAGGGAACTTGTTATCGAATGCAATAGTTCCATAACTAGGGTCACTTGGTAAATGCATATTAGACCAATAATAACTAACGTTGGTAGGGTTTCCTAAAAGGAGGAGCACCTTTCACCCATGTTATAGTCCATAACCAGGTTTTCAAGGGAGATTCGTGAACCAGCTTGCTTGCGCATTGAGAGGAAATCTCAGAAAAACCGTTGACTACTTAATGGCCTGCAGCATACTAAACAATGCCATAATTTTGCGCAGAAAAAACGTTTAATGACTCCTCCTGATGATTCTAGAGTAGTCGTTGCTGTCCACCGTGTGCAGTAGGTGGGCTGACTCGTGAAATATCAATCGAAATTCCGAACTGAGTTTTCGTTTTGAAAAGACTAATTAAGTAGGATTGTAAAACTAGTCAGACTGCAACATAATTCTACAATATTTCAGTTACCTCAGGATACCGGCTTTCGAACGAACTTCCTTCCGGCTGCATGCAAAAAGTACACTCTGCAAAAAACGACTGCATAATTAGCATGCATTTTTTCATTGATTTTGGATGACCCTAAATGTCCAGTTATATTTCATGGAAAACATGCATAACAATATTTATTGTTTTGCTAATTTGGTAGACAATTAAGTCTTCTTCCATTTGAAGGAAGAGTGTAATTCGGTTTTCAAAAACCCTTCCAGTTCCCGAATTATTTTGAACTGCTCTACGGCTACACTTGGATTCAGGGTTCCCAAACTACAAGCAGTATATTTTTCGTGTACGGAAATCCACACATTTTTTACAATAATAACGGGGGACTATATGGGGTTCATAAAATTCGGAAGTGGATTTGATTCATATCGTTAACTTTACAAGCTACATTGGTAAATGCTGAGACATGACGATTTATGAAAGGTCATTTCATGATATTAATAGTCCCACAATTAGAAACTTTTTAAAACCGAATTATTCTCCTTCTTCGAGTATAAAATTAGGAGAAAACATAATTTTCTACCGATTGGGCAAAAGAATGGATACTTTTATGTGCGTTTTCTATCAAATATAATTGGACATTTAGGGGCATCCAAAGTCAGTGAGAAAATTTCATGCTACGTAAGTGGTCGTTTTTTTTACAGAGCGTAATGTTTGCAGGTAAACTGTAGAAAGTTCATTCGAAAGCCGGCATCCGGCGGCAACTGAATTATTAATAAATTCTGCTGTATGCTGACTAGTTTTACAACGCTACTTAATTAATCTTTTCGAAACGAAAACGCATTTCGGAATTTCGGTTGACATTTTGTGAGTGAGCAAACCAAGTGCAGGAGTCCGGAAGGTTTTTTGCTTGCAATTATTTAACAGTCCTTTTCTTTAATGGACCGGCGTTAATAGAAGCAAATAACACGATCGAAATTTGTATTCAACATAATATGTGCTTGCATTCCTAAAGAGGACGTTGTAGCCTTGGTAGGTGTACATAGCTGGACCAAAGAATAATATTCTGAGCGTTTATCAAGCTGTCTTTTAGAAGAAATTAAAGATCTAAATATAAATATAGGAAGTCAGAATGGATATGCATGTGATGCAGTTCTGCCAGTCATCGCCTCACGTCTGCATTGCCAAAAGAATAAACCAGGGTTCTAGGATGAAAACGAGTCTAAATTTATTTTGGCGGGGATCGCCACGCGTAGCATCGATCAGCTGGTTCGACAATTACGGAAGCCAAGTGAATTTATGGCAGGAAAGCGAGTGAGTAGAATTGTTCCTCAGCTCCTGTCATTCGCGTGAAACAAGTGTACCATGCTGCGTCTCGGGAACCGAATTCAGGTCGCTGATTGGCTCATCTACCAGCTAAACGGGACAACACTCAGAGAATCCGAGACAAAGAAAGAGCTCAGCGTTTGGATGATGATGACGACAACTCAAAAACCATCTGTACAAGTTTGCAAAGCGGCTGAGTCCCCAACCGCAACGTTGTATGCCATGAAGCGAGCATTCACGGGTTTCGATAAAGGCTGCTTCTGGTGCGTTTTTAAGGTCGCATCGTGAATATGTGATCAAAACCTGGAGACTCTGAGTCCAGCAGGATTATAACCCACTATAAAAGTTCTGAGAGGTGTCGGAAAATTAATGAGGGGCTAAAGATCAGTGCCATACAGGGCCCGCCTAAATAACCCGAAGGCGATTGTTCGAGGACTTAATACAGGCTCTCCGTACCGCGCGTGGTATGGATTGTTCCCTCCATCGAGGGTGCTTCTTTGACCTGGCCATTACAACCAACATCCCTTCGGAGTGCGCCCAACTGAAGGAAGATTGAATGTGAGAAAGTACTTTTGACTTACCGTGGAATAACTTGCCCCGAAAGTTTATGGTGGTTCAGTCTGTGGAGACATTCAGACATCACATTGATGGACACATGAAACTGCAACAACCCACTACGTGACTGTTTTGAACAAATGTACTTATATGAAACTAAGTTTTTCTCCCCTTGAAACTGTAATCTCTTTACATTGTTTTTAATTTTTTCGATTCGCATGCTAAAAATAAGGAGTTAAAAGATGCATGCATACTTCCCCCTAATAAATTAGACAGAAAAATCCCTGAAATGTGAAGACAGCTTTGGGAATTATGGTAAGATCTTATTTCGTGATCACACCTGTTAGGGGTTTAGTTAAGGGGTTATGGTTAGTCTGTCGGAATTAGGGTTGGGGGTTAGGATTTGGG